GAAGAACTGCGTAAATGTCACGCTCTGTCCCCCAAGAGTACTTCGAATGGACATCCTCAAACACCAGATCCCACGTTATCACCGTCATTCCATCAGACCCACTCCCCCCCCAGTCAGAGTCCAACGTTCGTGTTCTGCGTAAACGGGTCCCCGTGATTAAACTCATCTGACCCTCGTGTCCATGTGGGTGTCCTGGCTCTGACCGGACTGGTACGATCTGCTGATATTTCTCTTGAACATGGGGAGAACAGTGGATCACCCCCGGGTGTTTTTTTTAGTTGTTGTAACCAACACGTGCGACACGTTTCCAAGAAGTTGCGTGGCATTTCCCCATCTCTCCGTCCGCCCCAAAATCTCTCCCCCCGCCCACACACACGAAGATCCCCCGTATAACCTGTAACAGCCTGTTGTGGCAAGTGCTGTTAGCGAGCACCTATGAAGGCCGGCATGGCACACGAGGGGGTGGGTGGCCAACACCCGGCCGACTTTATCTCACCAGTGGCGATGATTACACACAGCACCGGGTACTAATTTGAGGCTGAGTCGACCTAGGCGAGGCACAGGACCTGTTCAAATAATCGTCACCGGTGTTTGCCATGAGCGGGAATCTAACTCGGGTCGCCAGATTCGTTGCGCGGCTCGCTAACCACTACACCACCGCTCCTCACTCACACAGACACGCACACTCACAAGGGCATGTTCACACCTGCACGGCAACACCTGTGCCCGATTGTTTTTTTTCGTTATGTTATATCCCAGGTGTTTTTTTATTCAGTGAGATATAACATGCGCAAGGCATCAACACAATGTGTAATACAATGACCTCCTTGTGTGTGTATATTATTGTTGTGCCAAACACTGAGATAACATGTTTCAATGCTCTAATGCAGTAGGATTATAATGCACGGCTCATTGTAAGTCCATGGCTTTTAGCCTTCCCATGCCGTGGGCAGTTGTTTGACCATACTTCACCACACGGGGCTGTGCAGGGAGGGGTAACACCAGTTTCCACTGATGGTAACCTTGATTAGGAATCAAACTCAGGTCACCGGAAGCATGGTTGCAGTGTGCTAACTGCTGACCCCACTAAATGATGAATACTGCACTCCAATATTATGTGTACAATGTGGCACGGATATGTACACGACAGATCATACGTAAGTGCTCGTTAACAGCACTTGCCCCAATAGTCTGTTCAAGCTATACGGGGGAATTTTGTACGTGTATATGTGCAAAATAATTACGTCACTGACTGTCACTGGGTTTAACCGAGCACACAGTGCGGTACAACGATCCCACATCCAACATGCTCCATTCCCCGGCCACACACACACCCAAGAATGACTATTCGTAGCTGGACTTGGTACAGACCTCCACTGGGTCTGCCCAGCCCTTGGAAAATAACTACCGACTGCAGATTCTAGATTTGAAGCTTTCGTGATTGCAAGGATTCATATTCTTAGGTTTTTTTCGGTAAAGTCACGTAGGTAAAACATTAAAATAAATAAAAGTAAAATAAAACTAATTTACTTGATACAGCTGTCGTGGCTGTGACGGTTCCGCCTGAAGACGGAAGCTTGTGTTGCCTCCGAAACGTCGTGATTTTTTATTTTATTTTACTTTTATTAATTTTAATGTTTTATCGACGTGACTTTACCGAAAAAACCTAAGAATACCGACTGCAGCGTGTCACTTGCCAGCACCGTAATCGGGCAACCGTGTGCCAAGCCTGCCGTCCCACCCTATGTCAGGCCAGCCCTAATAGGTGCTCGCGAACAAAGACGTGCTGCAAAAACCGTGTGAAAATGCGCAAGAGGCCTTTTGACTGCTTTGTGTCATGTTTGAAAATAAGTTTGTCAGAAAAATAAATGCTGAGCCGGAAACAATTATTTTATTTTTCCGGTGTTGCAAATGTCCAGCATCGCAATTTTTTAAAGAAACACAATTATCCGCCTTGACCAATTAACCACTTAGTCTTTGTGCACGGTCGAACCGTCATCGTCTATACATGTTCACACATCTGACCTCTTCTCTTATCCCACCAATACCTCAGTCCCCAGTGAGTTGGATGTTGCACTGACATTGTAAGTGTGGAACATTTACTGGATGTTTAGTCTACAATTCACTCCACTCAACCGTAGCATCAACAAGCAGAGTTAGCGATAGAATCAGAGAATACAGTAAATGTCTAGAAATGAAGTTTTTTTTTATCTTTCCCTTCCTGGGGGGGTTTCTTTCAATTCGTAGAGTTGTCACAAAAGGGGGATTTTTTCTCACTCTCCATGGGGCATTACCGACAGCAAGGTCTTGTGAGACGATTAACTTATAGAGAGACAGAGTCAAACTGATAAGGAAGGAAAGTGGGCTTGTGCAAGAGGAGATGGAGTCATGAAATCAGCTCATGTGCTGGTGCTTGGTGAATTATTACATTGGAGGATTGTGCGCCACGGTGGCGAGATGTTAACTACCTTGCCTTGTATACAGAAGGTCGTGGGTTCAATCCCGACCCTGATGCCTGTATATTTGGAGTTTTCATGTTCTCCTCGTGGTTGTGTGGATTTTTCTAAGGGTCCTCTGGTTTTTCCCTCCACATTTAGAAACATGCTTCTAGAGTATTTGGTTGCTATAAATTTGCACATGATAAGCTACTTTGTTGAGCTATCATTTGTGGGCAGGTCGCTTCTGGAAAAAGAGATATATAGTTCAGTGGGTCTTATCTGGTAAAATAAAAAATGAACCCGTAAAAACAAAGTTTTTCACTATAAATCCTTTATATGCGTGTTCAATGGGCCACAACCCAGCCCACATTGGTCTTTGAAACGGGCGGCTGGAGTCCTCTCGTCCTCTGGCTTGAGATGGCTGCCACCTATGGGTCAGATGATTGCCTGCCACCATTAAGCAATTGATAATTAAATATAAATTTTTTTTGTCACGCACAACGAGTCTGTGTGCAAAATGTCAGCTCGATTGGATCACGGGAAGTGGGTTAAAAAACGACCGAAAGATTTGCACGGTCGTAAGCGCGCAAGCAAGCAAGCAAGTGAACTTAATATAAAGGATTTAAAAATAGTATTAGATGGCGGTGGCTTGGGTAGGTTTTGTACCAGCAATGGATTGACCATAGCTGCTGCTGCTGCTGCTGCTGATGACATAGTGACAGCACTGTGTCAGGAATATTGTTGTGCTCGTAACCTTTGATGGGAACGAGCGGTGGTGCAGAGGGTCGCACGTTACGCTACGAACCCAGCGACCGATTCCCGGACACTGCCAACATCAGCGGCGAGCGATGCTTGAACCGCTCCAACCTGCACTGACCAGGCTGGACCGGTGGACGCGTTCTAAAGTAGTATTATTATTATTTTACGTTGAACGTATTTTCCGGGAACGTAAAATGCCGGCTTGCGCTTTGATTGCCATGCGATCCGGGTGCCGTTTTGAGTGGCATTTGTTTTTTGTCCCAGCTGTAATTGCACACTCTGGCTACCAGGGTGACACACACTGCGGCTTGAAGGCTGAGCTGTCAGCTGTTTGACGTCTCTCCATGAGCGAGTTGGCTGCAAGGGCAGCCTTTGTCCGACTACTCACTGCCCTCCCTAATCCCAATGCCTTGGGACCAGAGTCTAGTTCACACTTCCACATTGGCCTCACTCCTGTGTGAGTGAGATGGCGCTTGGTGGTCATCGCACACACTCCAGAGTCAGGTTGAGGTCAGTGTTCCAACGCTGGCTGGTTCAAAACTTTGTGGCCATCAGACCTTCCGATCCACTCAGAAATATCTAAGAAAATTGCTGCCTCTCCTCTCCCTTTGCCCTTAATCCGACCTGACGCCATCACCATTATCAGCCTCCCAAGTTTCCTGCCTCTTCATTCGGCATCCCACCAATCTCTATATAATGGGAGGGTCACCCCTTTCTTCCATGTTGGCCATGTGGTCTGAAAAGCCTTTACTGTCTCCACAGCTAACTGCCTCTTCCTGTTTACAAACTGGACCTATTTTTGTTGCACTGTTTATGCCATAAATCTCCATTGAGTTGCACACACTGGAGTTCTATTTGTAGTTGTAACCTTTAGTTAAGGCTCACAAACACAAATACACAGTCACAGTATTTATTTCTACTTTTGCACTTAAAACATATGGCGCTCAACTAATGCCTGTGAATGTTCGTGAATGAAGGTATCCCCAAGTGCTCTAATCACCTCCCCACGTACCCTGCCCAAAACAAGTCGTGAGAGACAGATTTATTGTGAATTCACCTCCCGCTCCTCCGTCCCATGGCATTGTATCACCGCATTCTCCAGATTATATGAGGCTCCAGAAAGCAAGAAGCACCCCAAACGTGTGCACCGTGTCAATAAAGTGAAAATAAAATCTGGTCGCACGCACAAAGATCTCCGGTATAGCCTTCAACATAATGTTGGGGTAAGTGCTGTTAGTGAGCACCTATGAAGGCCGGCACGGCACACAGGGGGTGGGTGGCCAGCAGCATGCCAGGCTGCCTTTGTCTCCCTGGTCACGCACACACAGACACCTACCAGATTTTAGAATTTACCCCCAACTTTTGCTTTAAATTTTTAAGGGAAATAAGCGTGTCTCGTTACCCGGAGATTGTGGTTGTTCAGTCTTGTTATGGAAGTGTATTTATGTATAACTTGCAGAACTTTAGTTGCACGTTAAACCCACCAAATGAAACCAAATATGGTCATCAGTATCCGGCCTCGTGGCTCGGTAGTAGAGCGAGCAACTTCCAATCAAAAGGTTGCGAATTCAAATCCTGGTTGGAGGTTGCCTCTGCCCATCATCATTTTAGGGTCGATAAAAAGTACCACTTTGTGGAGAAGTCAACAGTGGTTGTCCTATGTATAGACTCCCCCTCGCCATAGGCACGTGGAATTTCCACCACCACTTTGACTGTCGTCATTAGTAGCGTCATGCGCCGCCGTGTCCGCCCTCTGAAAGTGCGCGTGTCCATGTTCGTGTGTGTCTGTCTCTCTCTCAACAGGAGCCGAGCCACAAAAGAGTTCGCTCCAAGTCTTCGCTCGTGAACCTCATCTTCCCCGTCAAGACCGCTGCTGCCAAACACTTTGGCCGATCCTTACAGGTGAGGCCCAAGATGCAGGCGCGGCGCTCACAGCCGCCAGAGCGGCGTCCTTACTCTCATCGTCCCGCTTAGTTGTGTCAGGTACTCAGCGAGATGACGATAGCGTCCGTCACCATCCTGTGCTAACCAGCGTAGTGAAGTATGGTCAAACCCTCCCGCCCCCCCCCACCACCCCGATCACCAACACACCTACATCATGGCATCAAGTCCTCGACAGCTGTGGGTTTGATAATTGTTTTTTGACCCTTCTATCTGGCAACAAAACTGACACCTTTTTTTACAAGGCGTCATGTTTGCATAGACCACAATACCTGCAGTCATAATGCCAACAAAAAACACAACTCTGATAATGTGAACTGTCCTTGAAGTTGATTGGTCCACACCCGAGACAGCTTTCCTTAGAGGCTAGTCTCACATGGGTTGGACCAGATGACGCCAAAAGGCGCACAACTCAAAGACAATGCACCATCAGAGTATGAGACTAGGCTCTAAGGAAAGCTGTCTCGGGTGTGGACCAATCAACTTCAAGGACAGTGCACATTATCAGAGTTATGTTTTTTGTTTGCATTATGACTGCAGGTATTGTGGTCTATGCAAACATGATGCCTTGTAAAAAAAAGGTGTCAGTTTTGTTGCCAGATAGAAGGGTCAAAAACCAATTGTCATATTTTTTACTGGCAAATGAGGTTCCAAAGCTGTGGGTTTGCCAACTATGGCATCGGCTGGGATGGTGAAGGAGCAGGGAGGTTCCAAGAATCGCCGAGCACGACCAGGATTCCCCGCATCACGGGATTGTGAGAGGTCGCGGTGGTGGCAGCTTGCAGAGGCCTTCATCCAGCAACAGATTGACCAAGGCTGACGATGGCTCTTGTCGGGAATCATTAATGGGGGTTTCGCTTCGTCCCTGCTGATGGTGACGAATCGTCGACGACTCACCTGCTGCTGTCAGTGAGACTTGGGATGAGGCCACACACGGAGGTCGTTGCGGACCAAGGCATTGGACCCCAGCTGTCCATGCAAACTGATGGATGGATTGAAACTCTCCTTTGAATTGTTGTGAAGAAGACATAGCTACACTTGTGGGTTTTTTTCTATATCTGTGGTGTTCTATTCGTGAAGTGCGTTCGGCAGAGGTGAAGGAATGCCCTTCCGATTGGGTGGATTTTTTTTATGTCACTCATAAGATGTTATCACCGTGTGGAATCGAATCTCTGAGTTTTCTGGTGAATAAGGAATCCACACAGAGATGTTGACCATGCGGTTTTACTTGGGCTTTTAAGAAATATATAAAATACGCGCTGACATAACTCTGGGTGGCAGGGGGTGGAGCTATACCGCAGAGCTCCGTACAGTTTGCTAAAGAGCTCAAATACACAAAAGATGATACGTTTCAATTGACTCTTCATCCGCTGTGGGACGTTGTCCCAACTTCGTCCACTCACTTTAAACAATCCACTCACTTTCAAACATCACAAATTAACCGCTTTGACCTCCGATTATATGATATGGATTTCTATAGCCTTCTGCCATATGCTAATCCCCTGTCCCGCTTGAAACCCTGGTCTCCTGGTACTAACGGCTCTGTGTGCTCATAGATTATGACATCACGTTGAGGACGCTCGGTCTAAAGTCTAGACGGCGAGGCCGCTCCCATGCATCTGTAATAAATAAATAAATGTAGGTAAAAGGTGGCATAATTGAGGTGTGTGTGTGTAGGTGGGATAATTGCACGTTTTGTAACGGTGGAATGCTGAATTCCTTTTGTGGGCTGGGCCGTAATGACAGTGGCTACCTTCTCGCACAAAGAGCCCACGATTCCACGAGGGGAAAGTCATGAATACGTCTCTCGACCATGAAGTAAGGAGTGGGTGTGTGGGCAGGGTGTGTTTTTATTGAATTCCTTCAGATTACACGTAAGAGATGCCCCTGATACACACCATCCTTTCAAGTAGACGATTGATACCGTTATCCATGGGCAGGGGAAGGTTGATATCTCAGAGGGTTTGCGCTGCCAAAACTTCATCATAATGGAGGATGTTGTGGTGGTTTTTAAAATTATTATTCTAAAGTCTAGTTTTTTTTGGAAACTTCCTTACGTGTGCAGTATCGTGGCCGAGAGGAAGTGCTGATCGCTCTTAAGTGACATCTGAACCATGGCCCACAATCGCGCGTGACATGGTGCACGTGTCGAATGTTTTACTTCTTATGGCGCGTGTCGATTCGCTCGCTCCCATCTTCCCGTTAGCACGGTTGCCTACGTAGTCCAAAGAAGTTCAACATACATACGTACGCGCATGCAGAGGTGCTCGCGTGCTCTGCTCAGGTTTTTCACGGTCGCGCCGTGCGGCTCTCCGAGTTGTCACCGGTGTTGCGACGTTGCGCTTCGTGCGTCGGGGTCAGCTGCATCTCCTGTTTACAAGCCTCAAAGTCGGCGGTGGAAATTCCAATTTTCTATCCTGCGCTCCGGCGTAATCTCGTGAATAATTACTGCCGACTTCCTATCGAGTGGTGCTCATTTTAGTTGCTCCCCCCCCCCGCCGCCCCCAGAGGCATGAGAGGAGGGTTGCGTCACCCCCTGACTAGGTTCGGAACTGTCGACCGTCTCGCTATGAGACACACACTCCTAACCGCAGTAGCCTCGGTCACAAAGGGGAATTTTCTTGAATTTAATTTTTATATATACAGTATATGAGAAAAAGGAAGCATGAAGTCATTGTGTTATGTATGTGTACACATGCTAAATTATAATTGTCTTTTAAACTTACTTGGTGGGCAAGTGTACATTTTTCTGTTTCAAGTTTAACTTCTTTCAGGTGACAAATTCATGAACATATATATCGTAAGTTTTCGTCGCCCGTAGTTGTATTAAGGCGCGGTTCTTTCATCCGTTTTCAAAATAGCCAGCTTCACCAGAAGAATTCGGAGAATGTTGAAGAAGGCCCAAAGTCAGAAGGCATCTTTATTTAATATCTCTCTCTTTTTTTTCCTTTTGAAATCGTGAGCCAAAGTATGCGAGCAGGTGTGCCTGCGGTTAGCCGAGCAGAGGAGCAGGGGGAGAGTAGACACTGGCGGTGCTGGGGGAAGAAACTGGGAGGGATCGGTGTTCAATTTGTCAACAAATTTAGTGCCACAAATATTCCCCAATTTCATGTTTATTATTAGTATTATTTAATATTTTAGTCAGCGATGACTTGAGTGGACACCGTGACTATGACTGCCTATGCTGTTATGAGATTAACCAACTTGAATAGAGAAGAAGAATACGATCATTCTGCAGTGTTATTCGAGACAGCCAGGGCACTGGGCAGGACAAACGAATGACGGGAATTGGCTCGATGCGATTATAAAAATGGGTGACAACTCTGCGTCTCACACACCGTCGTTATTAATAATAATTGAGTGGTCTACATTTTTGACTGCTTCGGTTGACTCGGCTAAGATAACTACTGAATGCAATTCACAAACGAAGACTATGACTAACTTAACAAGATGCTGACTAAATTAACACTGGTCTACTGAGGGCCCCCGTTTGTCGACACACTTTCACAAAGGCACACTAGCACGTACAGAAATACAAAGATCCCCCATATAGCCTTAACAGACTGTTGGGGCAAGTGCTGTTCACGAGCAGCCTGTTGAGAGCCGTCATGGCATACGAGGGGGTGGGTGGCCAGCACCACGCCCGGCCGCCTTTGTCTCCCTAGTGGCGACGTTTACACACTGCACCAGGTACTCATTTGAGGCCGAGTCGACCTAGGGGAGGCCCAGTGCTGGTTCAGATAATCGTCACTGGTGTTGGCCGTGAGCGGGAATCGAACCCGGGTGGCTAGGCTCATAGCGTAGCGCTAACCGCTACACTACCGCTCCCCACGCACACACAGGCATAGCAACACTCGCACACATCGCACACAGCGCGCTGGCCAAAACCTCGTGCACTTCCTTGCATTGTTCTCAATCATTGTTCAGACAGGCGACTATCAAAAAAACATAGAGACATTCGCAAAAAAAAACACATCGCAGTCAAAACAAAATACAAAAACATTGCCAAGGTCTGGCTTTTCTTACAGCATTTTGTTTCATCATCATCCCAATCGGCCACGGTCCATCCACTGTTGGATGGATTTCCCCCCAAGCCGTCGTCACCTCTCACCACCCTGCGATGCGATAGTCCACCTAGACCTGCGCACGAGCCGATGCCGTCGCTCCATCTCCTCCGTGAATCCGTTTCATTCTCTAGCCCGCCACTCAAAGTGCTCTCGAACCGTCGGCCATCTTACATTTCAGCGAGATGTTCGTGCAGGCTTTTGTTTCATGTTTGGATGTGATGTGTGTACGGTTTGGGTGTGATGTGTATATAGCTCTGCTTCAGTGGGCCCCAAGGACTGCAAACAGGAGTTCCGTGAGTGTGGCACATAAAACAGGGTGACCTCTGCTGACCTCTGCGCCTGTGCATTAAACAGGCAGTGCCTTCTGAAAGGGTGGCGTTTGTACGCAAACGGTGCATGTCCAGCCGATTTGTTCAGGACTCCTTTTCCCGATTCAGGAATTCCGCCGGGCCTCGTGTGAGCTTGCCTTTGATCTCGCGCGCGGTCAGACTAAACACACAGAGCCGCACAATCGAGTCAGGAAACGCGGCAAGGCACAATTCTGCCGAGTCACTCGAATGTGTGAAGCCCCCCTCTGTGCGTGCGTGCGCTCTAAGCCCTCGAGTGCAAATACGCAGGACAAACATTCAGCCTTTTTCCACCCCGTGGCACCATCGACACAAACCCTTCTTCACACTCGCGCCTTCCGCTCCACAGCCTGTTGTTTATCCACTGTGGCTAAACGGTATCTAGGTAAGCAACTTTGTCGTCGGCCCATCTTAGACAGCTTACAATGTGGATTTATATAGTGTCAAAATGTGACCGCACCTCAAGGTGCAGAACACATACGGTGGGCTTGTTTATTTGATACAGAGACAATCCCCAGCCATAGGCAGAGGTAAAACGGTCTTGACAGCGTGGGGGGCTGAGGGAAGAGCCCCAGGCAATGAGGCCACCAAAGCAGAATGAGTGACCTCCCACTGAGCGAAGGTTGCAATAGGGGCTATGCGACTTGCTTATACAGATAGTGCATCGATAAGGGAGTTGAGAGGGATGAGAGGGTTAGGGGTAGGAGAGTGTGTGGAGGGGAGTAGAGTGAGATGAGAGGGGAGAGGTAGGAGAGTGCGTGGAGGGGAGTAGAGTGAGATGAGAGGGGAGAGGTAGGAGAGTGTATGGAGGGGAGTAGAGTGAGATGAGAGGGGAGAGGTAGGAGGGTGCGTGGAGGGGAGTAGAGTGAGATGAGAGGGGAGAGGTAGGAGAGTGCGTGGTGGGGAGTAGAGTGAGATGAGAGTGGAGAGGTAGGAGAGTGCGTGGAGAGGAGTAGAGTGAGATGAGAGGGGAAAGGTAGGAGAGTGTATGGAGGGGAGTAGAGTGAGATGAGAGTGGAGAGGTAGGAGAGTGCGTGGAGAGGAGTAGAGTGAGATGAGAGGGGAGAGGTAGGAGAGTGTATGGAGGGGAGTAGAGTGAGATGAGAGGGGAGAGGTAGGAGAGTGTATGGAGGGGAGTAGAGTGAGATGAGAGGGGAGAGGTAGGAGAGTGCGTGGAGAGGAGTAGAGTGAGATGAGAGGGGAGAGGTAGGAGGGTGCGTGGAGGGGAGTATAGTGAGATGAGAGGGGACGTAGGCAAGGGAAAGGCCGCAGAGAATCTCTGAAGCGTCCAATCTTGAGCGAGGATTGGATTGGTTCCATGATTTGAATCCCCACCACACCCCGATGATTTTGGAGTGGAATTGCCAACGAGCGCAGTCGACCGTGAAGTTAATGGTAAAAGCCTCCCTCTGATCTCATTCATAAAAGTAGGCCATTGTGTCACGGGTTTTTTCCGACATTAATAATATTTGAGTTTCTAAACCAGCTAAGTACAACGGCATGTATATTATGAGGCTGGGGAGGGGGGGGAGAGAGGTGATGAATCGTCGTTAGTGGGAGATAGTGGAAAGGGATGGTTATTATGGTACGATGCACAGAAGTGGTCATTCATGCGTTAAGGATAACGAGGGGAGGGGCTTTAACCAGGATTGTGACTGGGGGAGAAGGGAGGTGGCGGTGCAGACAACGGGGAGACTGAGTTGCAGACAGCTGGAGCAACAGAGGAAGAATAGATGCCAGCTCCCCATGAGCAATATAAGGAGAACTCCGTTCTCTGCCTCCACATGAACATAAAAATGTGTTCAGCCCATGCGCCTGTTGGTTTTCCAGACCAATAGTGTCAAGCAGCATCTGTTTAAGCAAGCTGCCAACTCTAAACCGGTTTGGTTTATTCATTAAAACATTTCTGAGGGTTTTAATTGACTTAATAATTGTTATAAATAGGATGTAGCCCTTAACGTGATTATGGATATAATTATTGTACAGTCTTGTGAGATGCAATTGGCATGAATGACGCTATATATATTAAAAACTAAATATTATCCCAAACCTTCTGGGTCTCATCAGCAGACTCAGGCTTGATAATTGTTTTTTTACCCTTTTATTTGGCAACAAAACTGACACCTTTTTTACAAGGAGTCATGTTTGCATAGACCACAATACCTGCAGTCATAATGTAAAAAAAAATAACACTGTTAATGTAAAAAAGGTGTCAGTTTTGTTGCCAGATAAAAGGGTATAAAAACAATTATCATATTTTTTACTGGCAAATGAGGTTCCAATGGAGAGTCAAGCTTGTTAAGCAAATGCTCATAGATAACCAGCTGTTATTTGCAAGAGCACTCCATAAAAAAGACTATGGGACCTCATTCAATTCAAATGAGCAGTTCCTTAATGCGTTGCCACAGCAGCCTTTGGCTGGTTCACTTTAGGAAGGCTCTCGGCTTAGGCAGTGCATAGGCCTGGAGTCCACAGTAATTTAAACAAAACAAAAAACCTAATATGCCCATGTACTAAAATCGCACTTGCTCTCTGAGAGAGGGGCTCACAAACTTACAAGCGTTCACAGAGGTACCGAGCTATCGGGTGTGTGTAGGCGGTGCAACTGCACTGGGGACCCACGGTCCAAAGGGGACCCAGGCACCGGCCTACGAAGAGGGGCGAGGGGGGGGGGGTTCAGGAGGGGGGGGTGACACCAGAGGTCGCAACCGGGTACGGGTAGCCGTTTGCGACCCTGGTGCGGCCGGTTACGGGTACGGAATCAAAACCCTTTTGCGACCTCTGGGTGACACGCACCACGCTACCCCTACTGGCCTAACACCCGGCCTTGTCTCTTGCCCTGGTGCGTCCCGTTCCCCTACCGCGCTGCAGCGCACGACGAGCGTGCGCTCGGTGGAGCAGCCCCCCGCTCAGCAGAAGACCCCGCCGGGGAAGAGCCCCCCGGCCCTGGTGACGCCGCCTCAAGCGGGGCCCCCGCCTCGCCGCTCCAACAGCCGCCTGTGGAGCGAGACGTTCACGGTGCGCGACGGCGACGCGTTGCCCTCCTCCGAGATCAAGCGGCAAGAGGTGAGCGTCTGTCCGGTCGACTCGCCGGCCCGCACGGCCGCACGCCGTTGGAGGGATCGGCCTCTGTAAAACTAAACTGTGAACTCATTTTGATGTTACCGGGTAAGGCCCACCGAGCTATGCAGCTCTTTTTCAGACGCGACGTGGCCGCAAATGATAAGCCCGACGGAGTGGCTTGATATGCGGAAATGTATAGCGGCCAAATGTTCTAAATGTAGGCTTCTAAATGTGGAGGGAAAAACTGGAGGACCCGGAGAAAAATCCACGCGACTACAGAGATATAGAACGGGCAAACTGCAAATATACAGGCATCAGGATCGAACCCATGAAATTTGGCCTACTCTTCCACGCTGGCCAGACGTCTTGGAAAAAGTGGGAATACCCACGCTTTACCCCACCATGCGCGACTTGCCGATTGACTAACCGCGGTCTACCCAGTTGCACTGCTGGCTGGACAGAGGTGGGGAGGGGTGATGGTTTAATCTCCCACCGTGGTGGTGCTGGGCGCCTGCAATGCTGGGCTGGGTGGAGGAGGGTTTTGTGAATGTCACAACACCCTCGTGTGTAGGTGGCGGTACAGCAAGTCGTGGTTTATGACCAATCTCTGTGAGTGTTTTGAATGTTAATCCCCAACATTTTTGGGTTTGCAAGCGCACTCCTCCCGTGCTCAAAATACTCGTTTGGTCAGAAACGTCTGGCCAAACTTGGCAATTTTACAGCCCACCTGAAACAGTATGGAGACTTTAACACGTAGGCTTTCGCTAACAATATTATCCAGAATATGTTTTTTTTTGGTTACATTATGTTATCTCACCCAAACTCCCCCCCCCCCCCCCCACTTATATTATGGATAATATCTAGACTCATGGAGGCTTTCCTGGATATTTTTTAAAAAATCTACTGTGGTCATTGGGCAGCTGCATGGCCCTTAGGCCACTTTGCTGACCACTGAGCCATTATTCACACCTGCTGGTCTTGAGTAGTAATTACCAAAGCACAGCTGCTGCTGTTGCTTTGAAGTGGATGTTGAAGACCATGTGAAGTCTATCAGGTCCTTTGTATATCGTTTTATGTTCGAAACTTGTCACCTTCAAAGCGTATCTTTCAGTAAATAATCAGAGCAGGTGAAGTTATTAACTGTCACTGTGTCAGAGCGTACACAGAGTAGAGGCATCGTACTGCCGGTTCAGAGCAGGAAGTGGTGGGCTTGGGCAGGACACGTCATGGCTCGAGGGGGCGATGACCGGCGGTCGAGACTAGCGACGGAGCGGCAGCCAAAGGGGCGATAAAAACCCCCGAGGAGAACGACCTGCACGGAGGTGGCGCGATGGAACCGCCCCGCGTGCGTGTGCGCGGGATGGATCGTTGCATCACAGAACTGTGTGCATGCATGTCCAGCTTCCTTCGCACCGTACGTAGCCAACTTGCGCTCATCGGAGGTGCGAGCTGAGAGATTGCGACGGCTTAGGGAGCAGAGGTCGCAAACGGGTTGTGATTCCTTATCCGTACCCGTACTCGGCCGCACCAGGGTCGCAAACGGCTACCCGTACCCGTACCCAGCCGGGTACGGGTAAGCCGGGTATCGGGTAGGGTACGGGTATCGGGTACCCGGTTGCGACCTCTGTTAGGGAGGCCTTCTTCATCCGGCAGTAGATTCGATTAATAGCATTTCGGTGAGCTTCCGCCTGGTCTATCACCAGTCGACGTCATTTCTCTCCCCTTGCGTCATTGTTGACCGGACCATACCAAGGGCCGGCCAGCCAAATACTCCGTGGTTGGCGCGTGGCCGGCATCGCGCTACGAGGGCTGAAGCTACACCCGCTTCACGGTGAACTCTTGAGGACGGGGGGCGGGCGGATGGGGGGGTGACGGCAACACCTGACGGGTTCCTGCGCCGTCAGGTGCGACTCAATAGCGGTGACTCAATAGTGACGTTGCTCAACCGCCCACGAGGTGGTCCCTCTGACCCCCTCCTGCCCACGCGCTCACCTGCCCCGCCCCTTCCCATCCAGTCCACCAATCAGACACCCGCAACACCGGGGGGGGGGGGGGGCTGTCGTCATCCGCACCTCGGAGGTGAACAGGCCCCCCCCCCCGCCGTGACAGAGCTCGCGCTGAGAGAATGAGAGGCACAACGTAAATACATGAATAATGAGCGCACCCACCACGGACTTTGGGTGCTTGGCAACTGCCGGCAACTCGTTTGTGAGGCGTGGCCCCCAGGTGCTTCTCGCCCCCTCACGGGTTTGGCTGCGAGATGGCAGTGAGCCAACTTTGCAGTTGTTTTTCTTCTTCTTAATTTTCACCAATTTTATTAGGGCTTAGCATGCGCAGTGGTTCTGTGCACGGCACCGTGAACCTTGGCCACCCGGGCTCCCCCCCCCCAACCTGCGCTAACCCGCACTGACCAGCGTGGTGAAGTATGGTCAAACTTCCCACCCAACCGACACGGTGTTGGGAGCCCTTCGTTCCGTAGTGGATTGACAAAGTTCTGTAAACGTGTTACATTTTCACGTTGAACTCCTTTGTGATATTTTTTCATGAGTATTTCCGCATAGAACAAAGTGTTATTTCCAATACAGATATCCCATGTATCTTCCTGGATTACATCCACATCACTCAAAACGACCAGAATCCTGAAAGTGTTTTCTAATCTTTACGGGCTTAAGCTTTGCACCATGAGTGACTGACTCTGACTTGCTGTGGCTTAAACCCTTGGAGCTGTGCTTCAGTGAAGTACAAAACAAAAAGACATTTTTAATCTTACCATGCTGTAATTAATCAACTCATTCGACAGCGGTCAACGAGGTAAAGGCACAGCCCTCCAATGTCTGGCTCTCGCCCACGGCTGGTGGAAGGTCCTCCACTAGCCGGAGCCCTGGAGAGCTTCTTCAGAGGGTATTTGGCCTACTCTTCCATGCTGGGCAGACGTCTTGGAAGAGGTTGGGGTGCCCACACTTTACCCCACCGCACACCAAACCTGCCGATAGACCAACCGTGGTGTGGGAGTGGGGAGGCAATGCTAATTCTTCCTCGTTGCTTCAGATTCAGAGCGGAGAGACGAAACTGTGGACCTCTGAATTACAAGTCCAGGGTGCTACCCGTTACGTCGCGACGGCATCCCCACACAGCTGCAGCACCTCGTCCCATATCAGTTTGGGCCCCAGGATCCCTGTGCTGACGATGAGGTCATCAGCCCCTCTGAGCCACCGAGAGCCACCGTTTTACGGTTGCTATTTTAATGCCACAATCATGACGACTCTGTGTGCTTCTACATTGCTCCCTGCTTTGTCACCTCGTCTGAGCACTCTGTTTTGTGTGTCCCTTCTCTCTGCCCCCTGATCACCGCGTGAACCCCCCTGTTCCCTTCCGCAGACCATTTTCGAGCTTTTCCAAGGTGAACAAGCCCTCATCGAAGACCTGCAGCTCGCCAAGAAGGTATCGCAACGTCACCCGAACAATCTCTCCTCCAGCCGTTCCCCGAGTGCGGATGCTGAACTCACAGCCGCGCCTCTTTGGGGCGCCACGGTGGCGAGATGTTAATTACCTCGCCTGGTATACAGGAGGGTCGTGGGTTCGATCCCGACCCTGACACCTGCTGTATATGTGGAGTTTGCATGTTCTCCCTGTGGTCGTGTAGATTTTTCTCCGGGTCCTCCGGTTTTTCCCTCCGCATTTAAAATAATGCGATAATTTGGCTGCTATAAATTTCCACATGCTATGCCGCTTTGTTAAGCTATCATTTGTGGCCAGTTCGCTTCTTAAAAAATAGCTATATGGCTCAGTGGGCTTTACCTGGTATAATAAAAATTGGTATTTTTTGTTAATGCCAGACTCTGCGAGCCAGGCCAAGTCGGGAGTCAACCGCTAATCATTTCTGGGAGGTATGGCAATAATCTGGGGTATCAAAGAACGAGTGGCGTTGTTCCCTAGAGAAGGCCATTGTGTGTTAGTGTAAGGGAAGATCGCACAATAGAAAATTACGCTCATCGAAGGATTAATACGGAAATCAATACAGCACCATTCATACATACACACACGCATGCACACGTATATACACTCTATGTGAGCCCATTGAGACTGAAAGTTGCCCCGTAAGGTGTGAGCCATGTAAAAACAATGAAACGTAACTCACGGCTGCTCTGCAGGTGTTCGTGGTGGTCGTGTTGTACGGCTCCCCGGTGTGTTTTCGGGTTGTATCACTTGTTCATTCCACTTTGTGTACGACACTTCACCCCACCTGCCAGGAACTTGAACTCTGTTCCGGACAAAGCTACCGGCACGTGGGGCTAAACGCTGTAGACATCATGCCGAACAGCACATGGTACAACCCGAAATCTCGTCCATGACAGAGGTTTTTTTTTGGGTTAGATCACGTAAATATAGATGTGTTGTTAAACCCGCCACCACCCGACGACAAGGCCAATGAGTAAGGTTTGTCAGGCAAACAAAACGTGCCAATTCGTTACTAGTTCAGCACACCGGTGTGTTTGAGAGTAAACCCACAACATTTATAATTCGAGTACCGAGACGTTTCGCCGGTAATTACAACCAGCCTCATCAGGCGACAGCCAGAGTTGTGGAGAAATCCTCCTGTTTCGATCCTGAATAGAGGGGGTAAATTACAGAAAATGTATAACCTACACATTCAAAGCATGGTATGGCAAAATATATTTTTTGTAATATATATCTAAATAAATGTGAACATCGGTAAAGTCACGTAGAAGGGAAATAATAAAATAATAAAATATTGTTATATCATGTTTTACTTTTATTATTTCCCTTCTACGTGACTTTTAATATTATGTTTTATTTTTATAATTTTATTATTTCCATTCTACGTGACTTTACCGAAAGAACCAAGAAGATGAATCCCTGCAGTCACGAAAGCTTTAAATCGAAATGTGAACATGTTCAACAATTAGGCTTGGCACAATTTTAAAACAATCACCAGCATGGAAATAAGGAGACATTAACACTCCAAGTGGAATACACCAACTATTACAAATAGCCTCTGGAAGTTTGTTGAAATCTGACATTGTTGATATTATTTTCAAAGTGGAATGTAAACAACATTGTTCCATTTACGAGAAGGATCGTATGCAAAAGTAATATTTAGCAGAATTTGTGCTTTTTGGAATGTACTAAAGGAATTTAGAAGAAGCTCATCTTAGGTTTCTAGTCTTTGCCTGTGGCGTTAAAAGCGCGGCAAGGAGGAAATCTACCGCGTCCGAAACAATCTCCAAGACAAAGGTCGAGTTTGTGTTCGTGTTATCGACTGCGGGAGATAACCCGTCACATCGGAGAGCCCTCGGTGACGTGCGGAGAGGCTGTAACTCGAGACATGAAGCACAAGGATGTGTGGAATAAACGATCTGGCCCGTTTAAGGCTCCAGCACAAGATGATTTTCGTAGCAAATTACCAGGGCCAATCGCCGGCTTCATGCTGTGGCTATGAAGTTGAAGACGTATTCTTGGTTCTTTCGGTAAAGTGGTGAAAAAAAGGAAATAATAAAACAATATAAATATTAAACAATATTGTTTTATATTTATATTATTTTATTATTTCCCTTCTACGTGACTTTACCGAAAGAACCAAGAATATGAATCCCTGCAGTCACGAAAGCTTTAAATCAAAATTTAAGTTGAAGACGGTTGGGCAAAGGGAAACGTGATTCATTTCTACAGAACGATCCAGTTTTTTTCTTTCTGTTTCAAAGTAATGTCTTGGAAGCGTGTTTAAAGTTTAGATGGTCATCAAACCGAATTATCTGATATAAATGGGAACCCCCTACAGTGACTGCAGGGATTCATCTTCTTGGTTCTTTCGGTGAAGTCACGTAGAAGGGAAGTAATAAAATAGTAAAAATAAAACATAATAAAATAATTTTATATTATATTATTTTATTATGTTTCATTTTAATTTTTTATTATTTTATTACTTCCCTTCTACATGACTTACAGGTTTGACCATTTCTCACTCGGTTGATTTCGTTTCTTAAAGCGATAGAGACAATTGCATCCCATGTAGTTGGATCGTCGCATGCAAAGGAAGGATTTACTCTACTTTGTGTTCCGGCTTGGAATGTGGCACTGGAATGTTGAGGCTCTGCTTGGGTTTCTCGTGTTTGCCTGTGGTTGAAACAAATCAGCAGGCACCGTTTTACACAAAAAAACAACCCCTTAACAAAAACAACTTGTGAGCAATTCATGCGTCTTCTTATCGACAGCGGGAGATAACCGGTAACGCCATAGATCTCTCAAGGACGCGCAGAGACGCTGTTATCAGAGGTGAAGCGGGAGATCGGATTTAGACCATTTAAGGCCACATGCAGCATGAGCTGATTTGAATACCAAATCTCCACAGTCAATCATTGCCATTTAGCTAAAACCATAAAGGTGTCGCCCTGTAATATCCAATTGCTGGCGGTGACGCCTCCACTAGAGGGAGGAGCTAGAGAGCTTGTTTTGGGGGTATTTGGCCTACTCTTCCACGCTGGTCAGACATCTTGGAAGAGGTGGGAGTACCCACACTTTGCCCCATCACATACGACCTGCCGATTGACTAAGTAAGAATTTGGGAACCCATCCTGATGGATAGAGGCGTAGATGTATAGGCAACAAGTTGAAGATGGGTGGGTCAAAGAGAAACATAATTGACTTTTACGTAAGAACCCCATTTACATTTCACATTTGTTAATAATGTTTTGAAGTGTGTTGAAGATTACATGGTCATATAACCAAACGCCCTAATACAATGCAACAATGCAATTTGAATGTACTGTATGTAGCGTCTGAATGCAAATACATCTTAAGAAGACATCGTGCAGCACAGGGGGGCATATTTGTTACGTGGAGAAAGAGTCGGTCGTGGGCAGAGGAAACAAGGAAGTTCTAGAGCCAGGCTTCAATAGAGGCGGGGAGTCAACAGCACGGACGGCTGGTGGTTCCACGTAAATTGTTAAACTAAACCAGAGTATGTTTAATGTATGACTCGTGAAGGTCAAGCACTTTATTTAACTTGCGTTGGGGAGTCACCGTGGCCTGTTTGTGTTCTGAATCACGCAGGCTTACCACGACCCCATGCTGAAGTTGGGCATCATGAACGAGGAAGAATTAACAAAGATATTTGGAGACCTCGACTCGTTTATTCCACTGCACCAAGGTAACAATGAACGTTACTACAAGCACCGAGCAAGCTTGGAACGTTGGCCCGACGTTGGTCGGACGGTTCCAACCACGTGCTAAAGTTGGCCCAACGTAGCACGTTTACTGGGAAGACATAAGACGTGACTATGTAACAGCAGCCTAACTGCGTGGCACAGTCACAGGGTTGTGAGTTTAAATCCTCTTCAGGATAGTACATTCTTGGCCCGTAATTTCATGCTGGTCAATCAAATTTGTACCATTTCGGGGGGAAGCAAGGGCGGTTGTTCTGATGGAGGGACTGCGATTACCACTCACGGCTCAGGGTTACTGACATTGCTCACCTCTGAGCAGAGACACAGTTGCGCTCTTTGGCTGCGAATGATAATTAACACGATGCAGCAGCATCGTTTTAGACCTTCTACAGTGTCAGGAACGCACGTGGTTGCACTCGGATGTGTTTTCGTGTGATGCCCCGTGTTGTTCAGCGTTATGTCCGACATTTCACACCACGTTTTTGCAGCATCTTCAGGAACTGAATTGAGCCATTCACCAATATCCCTTGAATTTTAATGCGTTGACTGCTGCTGCTGATGATGGTGTTGCCGGATCTGATCGCTTTACCGCCGATGCCGTCTCCTCCCGCAGACCTGGTCAGACGTCTGGAAGAGGCTCGTGGTCCCGACGGCACCGTGAAGGAAGTGGGACAAACCCTCGTCACGTGGGTGAGTGTTAAGAGACGAGGCCTGCACAGCTGCGGACACGCTCTGACAAATTTGATACTCACTCTTACATCACGCAATTGGAATACGCCACGTAGCTTCATCGCTTCCCATACCGGCAGCCTGATGCCCGCTGGCGGGTGCTGCTTTGACCTTGCCCCACACGGGGACAGCTGCCGTGGGGGGGTCCCCTTGGCTGGACAATGTCAGCTTATTGGTGTGGTTGGGACGAGACATAATTGCGAAGGTGCTACAAATTGCGGCCGCTACGTGAAAATCCTCATGGCTTAGGCAGCGGCTGGAAAACCATCCTAAACCAAACTATTTTTATTTTACCATTTAAGGCCCATTGAGCTATGTAGCTCTTTTTCAGAAGTAACCTGGCCACAAACGATAGCTTAATGAAGTGGCTTACCATGTTGAAATTAATACCAGCAGCCAAATACTCTAAACGCGTGACGTTGATTCTAAATGTGGAGGGAAAAACCGGAGGACCTGGAGAAAAATCCGTGCGACTGCTGGGAGAGAGACACGCAAACTACAAGTATACAGCAGGCGTCAGGGTCGGGATCGGACCCACAGCCTCCTGCATACCAGGCGAGGGAGTTAACATCTCGCCGCCGTTCCTGCCGTTGCAGCTGCCGTGCATCAACGCGTACACCAGCTACTGCGGCAACCAGGTGGCGGCCAAGGCGCTGCTGGACCAGAAGAAGCGCGACCCGCGCGTGCAGGACTTCCTGCAGCGCTGCATCGAGTCGCCGTTCAGCCGCAAGCTGGAGCTGTGGAGCTTCCTGGACGTGCCGCGCTCGCGCCTCGTCAAGTACCCGCTGCTGCTGCGCGAGATCGAGCGCCACACGCCCGCGGAGCACCCCGACGTCGACCTGCTGCGCCACGCGGTGAGGGCCCTGCCGCGGTCACTCTGATTGACAGGGGGTGGAGCTACATAATGGGGGTGGAGCTACATGACGGGGGGTGGAGCTACATGATGGGGGTGGAGCTACATGACGGGGGGGGGAGCTACATGACGGGGGGTGGAGCTACATGACGGGGGGTGGAGCTACATGACGGGGGATGGAGCTACATGATGGGGGTGGAGCTACATGACGGGGGTGGAGCTACATGACGGGGGTGGAGCTACATGATGGGGGTGGAGCTACATGACAGGGGGTGGAGCTACATGACAGGGGGTGGAGCTACATGATAGGGGGTGGAGCTACATGATGGGGGTGGAGCTACATGACGGGGGTGGAGCTACATGATGGGGGGTGGAGCTACATGACGGGGAGTGGAGCTACATGACGGAGAGTGGAGCTACATGATGGGGGGTGGAGCTACATGACAGGGGGTGGAGCTACATGATGGGGGTGGAGCTACATGATGGGGGTGGAGCTACATGACGGGGGGTGGAGCTACATGATGGGGGGTGGAGCTACATGACAGGGGGTGGATGTGTGTAAGTTCAACTTCTTTCGCACCGTAAGTAACCAACCGTGCAAATCGGAGGTGCGGGGGAAGGACAACAAACTAAACACAGAAAGCAGTTGGAAGTGTCCTGCCATCGATATTTAGCCACCCACTGCGAGCATCTTCGCCGCACTAATCGGGTACTGGAGGGAAATATTTTAAATCCGTTAATGGCGCTCCCGTTTCTCCTTGTCACTGCAAGGGCCCCTTTGTGCACAGCCAAGATGCACGTTACTTGTAGCCATATTACTTGTGAAACCCAATGCGGCCCTCGGTGAGGAGAGGGCTCCTCAACCCGTGTTGTCAGGTCATCACCCCTGAGAGGTGGCTGAGTGGGATCCGTGAAAGGCAAACAAAACGTGGCCATACTTGGCATCGGGGAGAAGCGGCAAACTGGTAGGAGGCTAAGCACACTCGCCAACCAAACACCAGCCCTACCCCTTAAGCTAAACAAACACCACCCTCTCGCACAATCCTTCCCCTTATTCTGCCTGCCCCTCTCCACCTCCCCACGAACATTGCTCCATCTGACCGCAGGTCAAGGAATAGAACCCCTCGGCGAGCGTGTTAAACATTTGGCCTCCCCCGTCGCCCGTGATGACTCGCGTGCCTTCCCATGACCGCCGAGCTGATGCCGCTTCTTTGTCCACCCCCCCTCCCCCCTCAGACGGAGATCGTCCGGGGCATCCTCTCGGAGATCAACTTGCGCACGGGCGAGTCCGAGTGCTGCTTCTACCGCGAGCGGCTCGAGTTTGTGGACGCGCGGCACCGGGACCCGCGCATCGCCTCGGCGCGTCTCCTGCACTGCCACGGGGAGCTGCGCAACCAACGTGGCACCGTGAGTGCCCCCACGCACACTGCACGGCTCGGCGAGTTGGCCGGGCGGTAGCGCATTTGCCGCTCGTTGTAGCAGAGGATTCGCGCTTCAAGCCCTGCGGCCCGGCCTAGTTAATGCTGCGGGCGTGTTCACCGAAATAATACACTCGGTGCCTGCTTCGCGGTGAACGATTGAAGATCACGTGATGTTATTTGAAAAAGACTCGGTCATGTGCGCAGGCGTCATGGTCAAAAATTGACCAAATTCGAAAAAAATTACCTGCAACTTATTTAATGGGATTAAACCACATGGCACCATCACCGCTTTCCGGCAGACTATGCCGGTCTGTGAAGCTTAGCCCCTTCGCGATAGCTTGTGCTACGAGAGTGATGCGAATACCAAATGTGCTCTTAACTGTTATGTCCTTTTCACTTCTCTCTGCCCACCGCGGCATCTTTCAATGCATGATGTTTAACATCCATTCATCCTGGTCACTTGTTTCATTAATTTACATCGCACATCCGTGTCAAAGACCCATGACCACATGACCCAGGATGTGCCCGATCCCATAATATACCGGAAGCTCAGCAGGGGTTGGGTGCGAATGGTGCATGGATGGATGACCACCATGCATAACAGGTGCTATAGGCTGTGGGGCTCGGTTTTGGCCATCGGAAGGGCAGTACAGCAACATCAATTGTTGTATTGTGCTTCTGTGCTCCCACTTCTACACTCCACCTTTTAAGGAAAACGCACTGGCCAGCGTGGTCAAATAACACCCCACTATCCGCATGGCATGGGGAGGCACTCATCCAGTAGCGGATTGACAAAGGGCTGTACATGTGCATTCAATAAAAAAGCTAAGTACCCCCATTTTTCAAACGGCAATGCAAATAATGCTCGGTTGAGCATGGAGCCACTTAGACCTGAAAATACATTCCAGGTTTTTACTCTGGCATGATTACCAACAATATATACATCATTTGTATTGATATTGATTGGGTAGTAGCCGAACACACAAGCTACGGAAGCACTTATTTACACGCACACGGCACAGAAATGCACGAATCTCATCGGACTAAAACACACTTTATTTACGCATGTACACGTGTGCGTCCGTGCGCGTGTGTGTGGCCACCCAACAGAAGCTGCACGTGTTTCTGTTTGACGAGGTGCTGGTGCTCACTCGGCCTGGCGCACGCGGAGAGAGAAGTTTCTACCAGGTGGGAGACGCCGTGGCCCGAACAAGCAAACTTCCTACCCGGCACACGATCGATAGTGAATTTACTTATCAACGTTTAGCAGTGCAAATACGAGCCATCGAGCCGGTTGGCTCAGGTTTGATGATTCAATTAAAGTCTGCAACCCCCCAGTAATTTTGGCTGTTAATGACACTCACGTCATTGTCGTCATTTGCAATATCAGACGATCAGGTGACGGTGTCATGGTCCCAATTTTATAATGACCTTCGACTTCGAGCACTTCAACACCGACGTTTGCCATTCCTGATCCGTGCAGCCCCAGCTGGCTTTGACAATGTCGATCATAATAAAGCTGCTACTACTATCGATAACGATGATACAGTTCGATTACCTTTTGGATTCGTCGAGCATCTAAATCAGTGGTCGGCAACCAAAGTAACAGGAAGAGCCTTTTTTTTCCAGTTCGGTAAAAAAATGCAATATTTCAAGAGGCACAATGCGTGTCAATAATGTCACGAAGCAGTCCTAAAAGCGGGGCATGCAGCTCAGGAGCCGCAGGTTGCCGACGCCTGCTCTAAATGCAACCGCATTTTAAGAACGTACAAAAACAGCGGGCGCAGTTGGCCATTAGCAGAGGAAAACAGATGGGTCTTGAGCCAGGATGGGGGCAGGGCTCCACTCGGTGCCTCGGTGCGTGAATTGCGCACCTTGATCCGTGTCTTTGATCATCGCACAGGTGTTCCGGCAGCCGGTCCCCACGGCGGAGCTCCGCCTGGAGGACATCACGGAGCCAGGGGGAAGAGGCTCCTTCCGTGGACCCTTCGGGCCAAACGATCGTGGTGAGAATTCAGACATCGTTTTCTGTCGTTGCCTTTGATTCCACTGTGAGTCAACGCTCATGGTGGCACTGACGGGAATGATGACACTCGTAGCTGTAGTAGTAATAATTAACAAGAATCATTTGTTTTTTGAAAGAGCGCCATTTACAACGGGGCATCTCATAGCACTTTATATCTCATCTCAAACATTTGAATGGGGCACCCCAGGTGGCAGATGTCTCTGTGTGGCACAAGATGTGACCTCAGCACCACGCCTGCAAGCGAAAAATAGTTTAGCAGTCGGGGTGGGTGGTGGGGGGGGGGTGACAATCGCTTCGTCTAATCCCGATGATCGAGTAATTTGCCGATGACGCCGGCACCGCGAGTTTGACAACTCTTCACGGTGACGCCGGTACCCCCAGGCAAGAACGCGTTCCGCGTGGGCGTGGGGCCCATGGGCCGAGGCCACACCCTGCAGGCCGACAGCGCCTACAACAAGCGGCGCTGGCTCGCGTGCCTGGGGACCGCCCTGCATGGACGCGCCCAGGGCACGGGTCCCCCGCCGAGCCCCCCCGAGATCCCCGCCGACGACAGCGGCCCCCCGACGCCCGGCGAAGCGTACAGCGACGCGGAGGAGGCGCCCGGGTCGGTGCGCTCCGACATGGAGCTGTCCCTGGGCGGATTCTCCGACTCGGAGTCCGAGGTGAGCGACATAGGAGCCGGAGGTGAAGGCGATCGCGGACGCCCCTCGTTGTGACGCGGCGGTAGACGCGCGTTCCCGTTCCCCGAAAAGCGCCGCGTTTAGCGAAAACCGCGTTCAGCGACGAATTGCCGTACTGTGATTCCTCGCACTGTGAAATCAGCTTGCAGTCATACCATGGCGGGACAGAGAACTGATGAGGGATGCGCCGCCGCATGATAAGCCACTTCGTTGAGCAATCATTTGTGCCCAGGTGGCTCATCAAAAAGAGCTGTATAGCTCAGTGGGCCTTACCTGGTAAAACACAAATAGTTCAATATTTTTTTATCGTGTCGTTTCAGCGGTCCGAAGTGTCCTCCGTCATGGACACGAGTGAAGTTCTCCACATGACCTCCTGGCGAGGCCGGGAGGGCCCTGGGTTTCTGGACGAGATGTCCAGGGACTGCTTATCTGACCGCGAGGAGGTCTCCAGCGGGCAGGAGGACTGAAGGGAAACGTCCTGTCAAGGGGGTCCTTCACTCCCTCCTCTTCACACGACATCCTCCTATTGAATCATCACCCGACGACTTTCCACACACAGAGACGAATGACCAGCATTGACAACATTACCGTTGTTGATCAACGTTGTATGACAATAGAAAAAGAGGCCGACGGATGGTATGGGTCCTTTTTTTCTGGCTCCTATAATACCCCTTTTCCACTGGCACAGCCGAGCCGAGCCAGCGCGGAGCCCTCACGGTACTACGGGTAGCTTCCTCCCACTGGCAATTTGCCGCGCCGAGCTAGAACCAAACCGTGACCCACTGTAAATCTAGCTCCGGGGGGCCAAGCAGGGCCAGGGGCAGGGTTAATCACACGTGCATTGCGTGCGACGTCAATCGATGCAATTCCAACGCAGCGTCACCGCGGCATCTGCGCGCGCCTCGACTCGTTTATTGCGTTAGCGACGTCAGCGGCACGGCTCGGCTACTGCAGTGGAAAAACAACCTGACTCCTTCTCGGCCGCGCCCAGCTGGCTCGGCCTGGCGCAGCTACTGTAAGTTGTCCAGTGGAAATGAGGTATTTGCTGTGCGGTGTCGGCAGAAGGTATTGCCACACCTGAAGTGCCTTCAATGATATTAACCAAGAGGCTCGGAGCGCCCCGCCAACTGCTCTTGGGGTTGTTAGTAAAATGCTGATCTACGCATTCATAGTCATGTTTCTTTGTAATATTTTAAATGTTGGATGTTGGGTACCGTATTGCTGTGAGTGTTAAATACAAAGACCGCAAAGCAATCAATTGTTCTCTTTAAAAACGCCAGTTCATCAAAACTTCCAAACGGGCAGCTGGTGTTTTAAATGACAACGTCTTTGGTTGGATTTTTAACAAGAGGACTTGTGAGATGGAATGCCATCTCTGTAATTGTCGTGAATTACGTTTTTTGTTTTAATCTCAATCTCGCTTAAAACAGTTGCTCGCAGTCATGAAGAGGTTCCTTTTCAGTGACCAATTACCTCCCTGGTTTAATTTGCCAGCCTAACTCTATGGATTGCCGTGAGCGAGTTCAATCTTCCGTAGGTGTTGCACTCATTATTTTGGGCTACGACAGCCTTTTCGCATGTTTCGCTACCCACGTTTTAACGAGGGCGGAGGGGAGAGGGAGGGTTCGTGTAGACATCGGCTAATTGGATTCGCCGTTAAATTGTGGCGGCGTAGTACAACGGACGCAGATCGCATACTCCTCTAGACGCTGTGGATCATTCGTAACGCCACCGCAAATGCAAACGCAGTTGTTTCACGGCAGGTTTTTGTCAATGAATTTCACCCTTCCACTGTGCTAGTCTGAGTCTAGTTTCTCATCTGCCAGTTGCACGCAGCGCTATGGGGGCGGGTTAGAATGCGAATGTTTATCACCGATGGCATCACACCTCGCGTGTGAAACGAGGCTCGTATGGCATTCGTTTTTTTAGTGCACGAGCCACCAGGGATGTATAACCTCACGGTTTCGCGTAGACTTTAACCTTCACGAACAAAGGCTCGTCAAACCTTGGGCATTTCTCCAAACACCTTAAGCCATGCAAATATAAGTCTAATAGTGCCACAAATGCCTGTGCCAAGACCAGGAGCCTAACGAAATGCAAAACAAGCCAATCAGACTTTAGCACAGACCGAACGCATTCCCCCGCGCCAGCAGACGGAGCCAAGATGAGGCCACGCAGTCCGATCTCAGTGGATATCTGCAGACAATCAGGAGACTTTTATTCCACATTATTCTTGATGCCAAACATCTGGCGCCGGTGCTCACTCGAATGCGAAGTGCATACGTGTTTTTTTATTTTATTTATCTCCGCGTTGTTGACAAATGCTGTACGGGCACAGTGGGCTTTATTTTATTTATTTTTTGTAATGAAAACTATTGTGTTGTGGGACGACATTCAGCCACGTGACATGTGATGCCAGTGTTTATCAATTAGGGTGCCACTCAGGGTCACACCTCCTGCTCTTATTCTTTTGCCTGTTAATCTGAAGTGTTGCGAGTGTCAAGGCAATCCCTCAATATTTCCTGGTTGCTCAACATCGGCGCTAAATTCGTTCCGGTCGATACCCACCGTGGCATCGAAGCAAAGAGGAGGAGGAGGGGATCCTGAGCAAACTGTGGATATGAATCGAGTAGAATAAGATTCTCAGCTGCTGACTTTTCCACGAAAAGTCACAACTGAAACTTGACTTTTCCGTTTGCGTATCGAGTGGCACCCTACTTCCTCCATACATGGTATGGAATATCATGTAATGTGGTTTGTCTCCGCAGTGGCATTGTCAGCATTTGCTTTGGTCCAATATCCTCCTGCCTTTTTAATATGGCAGTTTTAACGACTCTTTGCGAGTTTCCCAAAACGCCCGACAAATTGGGCGCTTTAAAGCGATAATAATCACGCAGTGCTGGGTGGAAGCAGGTCAGCACAATAGCCAACTGCATTGCAACGAGTTACATTCGAACAGAGAATATTTCAGGGATTCCTAAGGGAAGTGGACACCGCGATGGTGGTGTGATGGTGAAGGCTTCTCTATGCAGGGCATTGAGCTCCGATCGAGTAATCCATGCCAAACGGAGTAACGATCAAAGTTCTGCTCGGTCACCCCGGAAGCGTGGAGTTGGCAAATCCGATAATCTATTCAATCGATCGTCAGTTCGATTGCTCTACTAAACGGTCGACGAGATAAAAAAACAGTGGGGTAAATAAAGTTTTACCTCTATTCCCTGCGTGGGCCACTGAATGTGGAGGTGATGGAGTGAGCACCAACAAGGCATCTGAGCGAGTGGCGTCTTTGTGGCATGCCAGCGTCGTGAATAGCTTTGCAAATGTATCTTTGGCATTGAGAGTCAATAATTGTTCGTTCGGGGCATTGGGTTCCATATGTATGTACGTACGTGTGTGCGTTTTTTAAGCTTGTTTGTGCTTATTAAGATTCCACTTTCTTGGAAGGGAAATTGAGCCAAAGGATTAATCTTGGTTGATGTAGAGTATTCGGTGATTAATTAAGTGCAAACCGGCCTGTGTACAAATACACAATCCTATGACGATATAGCAGTTGGCATATGTACAGGAGCCGTAAATGATTTCACTGCTCATTGATGCAATTTAAGAGGGCTGATTAATGTGCAGATATGAACTGGGTATGACCACCAGAACCAGATATGGCCCATCACTGAGAACTCAAAACCGTTGAGACCACCACTGGTACATTTTACATGTTTACCGATTATCTTAGCGCATTGTGCCTACTTTACGTTCAAATGGCAATCCGAATTTACAAGGTAATTCAATCAAAAGCAGTTTTAAATCGAAATCATTGTATTATTGACGCAGTATCTGCGTAAAATAAGAAAGCATTGGTTGAAGTATAAACCTGAAAACAATTGGTCCTTAAGTACTAGAGGTCACTGAATAGCCACATTATGGTATTGCACTCCAGTAATCTTAGCGTTGTGTACCGGCGACAGACAACATCTACTGTAGCAGAGATTTTTTCGAAATCTTGCCTTGAAATATATTAATCTAGTCAAGATTTGAGTCTTAAAGTAGATTTTAAGCTGCAAGTGTATATAGTATCATTTGGCATCTGGGGGTTGTTTGCGTAGGGGTTCTGTAGCATTCACGGATTAATCAGAACTCTATCCTGCAATTTGGAAAACGTGCCAAATAGGTCGAATAATTACCTTGCCATGCTACTACTTTGCAGAAGGTCCTCCACTGCAGAGAGCTTTAGAGAGCCCCTCTAGAAGGTAGTGTGGCCTACTCTTCCACTCTGACTTGAGGTTTTGGATGAAGCGGGACTACCCACACTTTACCCCACCAAATATACGACTTGTCGATCGACACGTCTGCTGATGGATAGGCTTCCGCGCCAGTAGATCGAATCAAACCGGTGACCTCTGGTTTCGCTGGCCCACCGCACTGCTAACTAACCCTTAGACCACTGCAGCATCATTGCCAAATTAGTATTCCCTTAACAAAAAAGAATGAGACTTGGAGAAAAGGAGTATTATGGTATGGGGTGTATTCGTTGCCAGGTTTTCAGCTGCATGAGTTAAGAGTCAAGGTAAGACTGATTAAAATGAAATTCCATTCTCTACCCCTTTGCTGTTTCTCCAGAAGGTGTTTTTTTCAATGAAAAATTACAATGGCATTTTTGTTTGATGGCATAATCTCAGCTGACATTGCAAAACCGTGTCGAAATACTCTTCCGTCATGCGATACCAAATCGTGGTTCATGTGTTAAGGTCGATTGAACAAGACTATTATATTTTTTTATTATAAGTTGTATAATTTGGCGTTGGCACAAACTAAACATCACGCCTGGTTAATTTGTCTTATCATTGATAGAGTTCTTTTTAATGAAATTTTATTTTAATTTCTTTTAATATACAGTACTACAAAGGTAATTAGGTTGTTAGCTCTTAAATACATATTTAATTTTTTATTGATTTCTGATGGTATATTTAATCAAGCATGCAGATACCTGCAGTTTTAAATTAGCTCGTAAGTTATTTTCACTTTATATAGTAAAAGTACTATATATATATAATGAATACGTGAGGGTTTTTTTGGTGACAATTTTCAACCATACTTAAGACGATATTGAGAGAGAAATGAACAAAGAATCGTAAGACTGATAGAAACTGACAAGAACAAGTCTGTGTTGAGTGTTTATAATGTTTCAAGGGTTTCCAATGGATTTCACATCTCATTTTTATATACGGTACAACATAGATCTGGTCCGCCAGGCACTGACGTACAGGCGGGCACATGGCAAGGTCATATACGTGAACATCCATGGAAAATGACAGCGACACCATGCATATATACTGCACTGGGATGTGGGCAGTTCATTGGTCAGGGAGGATATGTGACGTTTATAATGTCTGCTTCCCACCTCTTAAGCAGCACCACTGTATGCAGGGTAACGCGTGTAAATGTTACCTTGGTTTAAAACTTGACAAAGAGGTTTGGCAGTTTTCGTTGCTTTTTCCCCATGGTGTGGTGAATCGATGTCGTAAATTGGATTGTTGGAAGACGTGAATTAAGGCGGCGTGGCTCAGTTGCCATAAAGTTGGCGTCGCGAAAAAAGTCATTGCCTTGAAATGCAATTCGCCGAGAAAGACTTGGAAAGTTGGCTGCACAGTAAGAGAACGTGTTGTTCAGGTGGTCTGCGGATGTTATATGGAGGTGCTTGGAGCACCGTTGGTCGGAAAGGAATGCACTGTACACTCTATATGGCAGGTGGTCTCAAGTCCTACATCGCAAATGAAAAGGGTGCAGACTCGTACGTGACTGCATATTACACTCCAGTCGTAACTCACAACGTGGCTTACTTTCAGCCTGGAGCTGTCTCCAGAGAATAATATCTGCCTCCCAGTACGACTGGTAGTGGAAACGCTTTAAAATACAGGAGATCTTCCTTTTCAAAAATACTAAGACCACCGGTCATGTATGTATGTGTACCGCTGTATCGTGTAATGGTAAGGTTTGTCGTGAATGAAGGTATTGGGAAAGGGATGAACAGGACAAAACAAATGAACGGAAACACCGCTTCAGGTCTGCATTTAAGTATTATTATTTTTTGCCAAGAAACACAATTTCACCTCAGATTAGTTGAGGTTCTAGGGTCATTATAGGAAGTGCGTGTCAACAGGCAAAGCTTTACCACCGTCATAAAACACAACGGAATTATCAAACAGTTTAGTTGTATTTTAGTGTGAATGCAAAACACTCGGCATCTACAAAACTGTGCTTATTTTTACATGAAATTACTTCATGCTGGCCTTTTGCAGTGGTTCCGTGACTTTGTGTCCAATGGTTAAAAAAAGGTATTTTGAGAGTACAGCTTTGGTGACTCAGAGGACTGATGTCACGTTTGTGTGGTAATGTTTTGGTTGTAATGTTTTAGGGAATGTTTAGTTTTTTAGTTAAGAGGGAACGACTTCAAATGGTCCACACAAGTAGCAGGTGGCTGATGAGAGGCACCGCGCATCAAGGTGACTGACTGGGCCATCGGCCAAACAATGGAGAGAGGAGGAAAGAAAATCACCTCTTAAATTTCAACAACCACGTCTCCACTTTCGGATGGAATTCCACCCTCCCCAACCGGCCCCCCTGATAAACTTAAAATTTTTCACAACAAATTCTTTTTCATCGCCACTCTCGTTACAAAGTGCCCGGTTTTGCTCTCGATGTACACTGGCTTGGAGCAGTAATCGCCACGAGGTGCTTGTTCAGTTATCTCCCCCCCCCCCAGGAGGTGATTTCAAGAGACAGTCTCGGAAACGATTTCGATGGATTCCTGAAGTCAAAATTCGATTCCAATGTCACATTAACAACCGCCACGATTTACAAAGCGTGTTTTATGACTTTGGCGTCCATTCTATCAGCTGAACGATTCAGCATGCTGCTGCTGTACAGCGTTGCAGTGGCTGCACGAGTGCAAGTGACTCGTGTGTTTTATTTTACGATCGTAGAAAGTGGCCGAGAGATAGGCGACAAGGTGGCGTCTTGATTTGTTACTGACTGTGCTTGGGTCGCTTTCTTCTTCTGTATGGGGCATGTACATTTGTAAAGTACACTGTAAATTGTTACCAAATAAAATGTTGTAAAATCGTATTTTTGTTTTTGTTTAAAGTCTAACCTTGACCGTACAATTTTTGTGACCGTGGTCGATCTCACGTATGCCACCTTCAAAGACGGTCAGACCTAGCCTGGTTATCAATGGCACGCGACTGCGGTGTGCGTGCCAGCTCTGCTGGCCAGAATCCCTCTGAAACCTTGTTGTTTGGAAACTATAAAAGCCGAAAAAATGTTGTCACACGCATAAAGCTGCGGGCACTTCATCTCAAACCACTTTATGGTGCAAAGCACCCAAATGTGTGCAAACTCTTGGCGCCAGCTGTTACAGGGCACTCGCGGTTGTGGGGAATTTACTGGTGCTGTATAGAGCAGTGGATTAACCATTGCTGCTGATGAGGAACACGTGGATTCGAGAACATATGCAGGTTACAGTTGTTTGTAATTCAAACAGCTAGGAGACATACGTGGGCCCGGGTAGGACGTCTCATGGATAGAAGGGACGATGACCGACGGTCGAGTATAAAGACGGAGTGGCAGGCAAGGGACGGAACGAGTCTGAGAGAATGCCCACAGCTCGCGTTTAGGTAATTGGTGGATTGTTACATCGCAAGATTCGTGAGATATGGTCGACGGCTTGTGGGGGCCTTCATCCAGCAGTGGATAAACCAAGGCTGATCGTGATGGATTCAGTAGCACGGGTTGACTGTACTCTAAAGCGACAGACTTGGCTTGTGTTAGCGTCAAGAGCACATGTAGATATCCCCATGAATTGTCATCATCATGTTGGATGAGATAAACCAGAAACCATGATATGACTTATCAGTGAAACCCGTGACATAACGAGAAACTAGAACTGGCACGATTTGTCGGCTAAATATTATAACCAACTACTTGCGTGGTCAATTACTCGGGCACCTTGAAACATGGTGGGAAATTCCATCCTGCCTTCCGAAGGCAGGAAACCCCCGAAACATCATGCCCAGCGTGACGCGGCAGACGATGTCGATTATGTCGTCACGAAGCCCCGCCCAACACCTCCCGTCCAGCAGCACACGTGGGAACAGGTGAAAATGTCAAACGATCAGCTGAATTATAAAAAAAAAACAATAATCGGTGGAGTAATAGATGACTTTAATAATCGGTTAGCCCAGCTAAACTTAAAGGGAATATTTGACCATGTTGAAATAAGCGTGCCACAAACAGAAAATAGCTTGCAGCCAATATTTAAACAACTTCAACCTTAAACCATTTAGAAACATCAGATGAGGTATAGTCAACAGCGTTGACCCGAAATGAATGATAAACTTCATCAGCCATACTAAATCAAATCTCCCCAAGCCATCGTCATCAGCGTCTAGTGATTCAACAATTCAACTCGCCACCACTGCCCATGAGCAAGAACCAAAAATACTCAAATTCACCGTACAAGCTCCCTTTTATGCGTGACCTCTACTATCTGTAACCCTGAAGCTGTTGGTGAAATCTCCTCCGTAATACACTGCCGTTCTCTGTGTCGCCACACGCTCGGTCACTTGTTCCGCTGTGCGCGGATGAGTCTGCCGATGGAATGGCAGCCCAAAAGGGGTGAACACCATTGAGAAAGAGGGTGACCACGTGAAGATGGAGATATGAGATCAGTTCGTGTGTGCGGAGTCTGCAGGATGGTGAAAAATGACCGTGCCACAGATAGGCCTTCATCCAGCAGTGGATATATCGTTGCTAATGAGGGTGATTATTGTAATTGCTGATGGTGAGGATGCTGCTGCAGCTGCGGGTTACGCTACACTTGCCACACATATGTTCAACTTCTTTCGCGCCGTACGTAGCCAACCATGCTAAATCACACGATACTACTCCGCACCGTCCTTGTATCCACGTTTGTGTGCGGATAAGAGGAGTCGCATGAAAAACTCATCCTGTCATCCTGAATTAATTTCGCAGATTAAGATCAGTTCTTTTCTCAGTTAATAGGAGGCGATCTTCGCTCAACGGCAATAGCTTTACTGTGATTATGAGCGAGGTCATGGTGACTCGTGAAAGGGATGCCACCACATATCATCATCATCCTCCCCTCTTTCTGATGAATCACGCATGTCCTTAAAACCATCGACTTTAACTGAGTTCGCAATTGAGGCTGTTGGGAATCTGAATACTCATGCCAACAAACCTTTTCACTTGTAGTGAGTGACTTCCGAAACACTTCGTCTTATTTATTCTCACACTTTAAGCACAACATTGGGCGATACATCGATGTAACGTTCTACGCAGCTACACAAAGCCGACCCTTCTACACAACCCCATCGGTCGGCGTCCAACTACACAGCGGTCTGATGAGCGCAGCGACGGCGACGATGAGAGCCTTGCAGAAGATCGGCCACGTGGCCGGCACGACGAAGAGAGAAACTGATGAAGACCACAATGTAGGCCGGTGGTTGCCCCAACTTTATATTCATGATATTATTCTCTACTTTATTAAGTTCCTTTCATATTGAAGCATATCAAATCGCTGTACATAAAAATAAAACTACACTCACGAGTATAGATACAATTATAAGCAAAATAGAAACCTGAATAATATCAACGACGACTCTAGAAATTCCAATAAAATGAAGAACTAAAATAATCATTGCAGAGTAATCCAATCATACAACAAAATATATTCATACTCTTTGGTTTTTTCGGTAAAGTCAAGTAGGTAAAAATAAAATAAATGAAAACTAAATTAAATCACAACGTTTCAGAGGCAACACAAGCTTCCGTCTTCAGGTGGGAAAGCTTTTAGAAATGCCAGCAGGCAAGGCATTAAGAGGAATCTAACATAGATTGAATAATGGCATGCACCAGCCTCTCTCGGCATCAGGAAGTGACAGCAAAAGTCTTAGTCGAGCTATGTTGCGTACATGAATAAACTAGATTTTGGTAATATTACGTACATGAGAGTAAGCTCAAATCCAACATTTTTTTTTTATAAATTATGAAAACCCCGTAAGAATGTTAATATGCATGTTGAAATTATTCCGCACCGTACATAGCCAACTGTGCTAGGGTGGGGGACGACGACAACAAACTAAACACAAAAAGCAGTTCTAAAGAAATTCGTTTTCAATCTAGATGATTTAAAAGTGCATAGCTCCAGTGGTGTCCTAATATCGGAAGGAAGAGTGTTCCAGACGGCCGCAGAAGCGCATCTGAAGGCGCGCGACGCAGTGACCGCCTTTGTTCGATCCCGAGCCAAAAACCGCTGCTGGGAGGATGACCGGAGTCCACGTGATGGTTGATGCACAATAACAACAACACACACAGAGGTGCTGCTCACAAACAGCAGAAGTCACACCCCTCCCCTCTCCCTCCACCATCCTACAATTGTGTCTTTGTATCACTGCTGCCTGAAGCGGACGGCTACACTTTCAACTCTTTTTTAAATCCTTTATATTAAGTTCGCTTGCTTGCTTACGACCGTGCAAATCTTTCGGTCGTTTTTTAACCCACTTCCCGTGATCCAATCGAGCTGACATTTTCCACACAGACTCGTTGTGCGTGACAATCAATGTTCGTGAAAAAATATTTCCAAAATTGTACACTTTTTAGGACAAAAATATTATATTTAATTACCAATTGCTTAATGGTGCAATGCAATCATCTGACCCATAGGTGGCAGCCATCTCAAGCCAGAGGACGAGAGGACTCTAGCCGCCACGCATATAAAGGATTTATGGTGAAAAACTTTGTTTTTACGGGTTATACTTGTTTAGTTGGTGGTCTCATCAATAACACGACCAGGTGTTCAGCCCTCTTCTGAGTAAGGTGGTCTAGAAGAAGGCCGAGCGCATATTGTGCTGCATGTGGTGGGCACGTGACACGCACGCAAATGTCTGAATGTGAGTCTCTTCTCTCTGCCGCGTGTGAGAGCAGCTTCTCTTTCATTCTAGATTTGAAGCTTTCGTGACTGCAAGGATTCATACTCTTAGGTTTTTTGGTAAAGTCACGTCGGTAAAAATAAATAATAAAAATAATAGAAATAAAATAATAAATCACGACGTTTCGGAGGCAACACAAGTCTCCGTCATCAGGTGGGACCGTCACAGCTAGATGTATTCTATCAAGTGAGGCAAAATTCCAAGAGACAAGCTCTTAAATACAATTTCGATTTAAAGCTTTCGTGACTGCAGGGATTAATCTTATTGGTTCTTTCGAGGGGAGGGGGGGGAGGAGCTTATCTGAATGTGGTAGCCAATCAATGGAACGTGTTGGGGGGTGGGCGGGGCTAAAAGAGAACAATCGACTTGGGGTTGTAACCGGTGTTGGCTGACAATCCAAATACACAAAAGAGCAGTACTGTTAAACACTGGGGATGTCAACAACTCGGTAAAGTAGAATAGTACCTGTCAAATAAGATGGTACAAATATGTGTTAGTTAAATCTTTTTTACATGGTTAATAACATCTTTCCAATAATTACTCAGTTTGTACCCATGATCACGGTTGAGGTTATGTCTGTGTTGGTATATGTTCTCTTTGAGCAAAGTGTGTGGCGTCAACTCAAGGCGTTTAAATGGAAACCTCCCGCAACAGTGACACCAGCTGGCAGCGTTCTACGCTTCACCCAATTCGTCCTGGGGCTCTTATCTCTCGCGACGACTGCTTTGCAGTCGTCATTCGCACGAGCAGTTAGTCTCAAGGACTCTCACCAGTGCCGGATATCCTAGTAGCACAAGTAGCTACTACACGTGTAGTAGTAGCTACATCTGTAGTAGCTACTAAATAAGTAGCTACTATAGATGTAGTAGCTACGGGCCCCGCACTTTCAAGGGCTCCGCGCTAAATGCTTTCAAGCTATCAATTCCGGTTCAGTGATTCTGCACTTGCTGTATTACTATAGTACTATACCGCCTTCAACTTTTATGAACGACTGGGTGTTTAAGGTTAGTGATTTGTCGTATATCTGGCTGTATAGCAAATGAAAAATACAATTACTTTAAAATGCAAGTAAAAAATGCATGTATTTTCATATTTATGTGGGTTTTTTTAAAGTAGGGCCCCTTTCTAA